CCGGTTCTCCGCGCGTTTGAAGACCTTGTACGATGCCCTGGCGTACGTTTAGGAAAAGTTGTGGTTCGGTGGGGAAACTTCCTCTCAGGTTTTATCTCACTTGTGAGAAGTTGCGTTCTTTATCGATATTTAGGCCATACCCAGGGTTTCTGCTGGTTGGTGGAATCTTGCTCAGAATCCTTCGAGAGTTGGGATGAATGACATTTCTTTTGAAATGTTAGCACTGAAATAATTCTGTAAGATAGTTATAGCTATGTCAGAAATGACGGCCCATTCTGGGCAGAGAAAAACAGTGCATTAAAGAAGCTTATTTCGCGTCTGTTACCTGAACATCACTTGGCCAGCTCGGCTTCACGTGGGTCTGGAGAAGGTTATGGTGGAGTCGTGCCCTTTGAGTAGGTTGTGGATATATCGGCAACGAGAGTGACAGCAGGACGCCGTCAGGCTAGTGAGGGGAGCCCTCGGACGTGCTGTCACAAGGGTCACCTGCACGAGGGGTGAGCGCAGGAGGGCAGGGAGCTCAGTCTGCCTGTTTGTAGGGTCCAGTGAACCTCGTGAACCGGGAGGGACTGTGATCTTCAAGCCTTCAGGTCTGGAACTCAAACCGCGGTCGGCCCTGTGCAAATCCAGAACCTGGACCCTCACGCCACCTGCGGCCCAGGCTGCTCCCACGGCAAGAGCACAGCAGTGCCGCTGCCTGACTGCGTGGCCCTCTCAGGGACACGCCCTTACCCTGGACAGTGAGGCTGTGTGAGCCCTCTGGGAGTTCAAGTCTCAGCCCACCCTGCTCCTTCCTGGGAGCGTGTGCCGGACAGACGTGGCCCTGCCAGGCTCCTCTCAGCGTGGTGTGGGCCACTGCAGAGTGTGACAGAGCCTGTGGCTCTGGGGGGACTGACTGAGTGTGCTGGGGCAGGCCGGCCCTCCTGCACCCGTGAGAATCTCCCTGCACCCCGTTGCCCTTGCAGGCTGGTGTCACCGTGTGTTCCCTTTACTTGAGGCGTGGCACACGGGGTGGAGAGCCAGCATCCTGGGCGGTCACAGCCGCACAGAGGGCCGGGCTGGCAGGGCAGCCTCTTCCCGGTGCCGAGGGTTTACTTGAGGCGTGGCACACGGGGGGGAGAGCCAGCATCCTGGGCGGTCACAGCCGCACAGAGGGCCGGCCCTGTGCAAGGCACAGGTGCGAGGCACCCTGGCAGGGCAGCCTCTTCCCGCTGCCGAGGGTGCTGCTGGGCCTGGCGGGAAGGGGACTGTGGTTAGGGCCGAGTCAGCCCTGAGCCGGAACCAGATACCTGTCCCCACACTGGGGTGGTCGGGCCTGCACCGCATCAACTGACCTTTCTCCTACCCTCTGAAACTCACAGCCTACTTTGAAGAGAGCACCGAAGACCAGAGCCATAAACGCCCGGGGTCCATCCGGCGACTGGCGTGCGCAGCCGGACCCACGTGGGGCTGTCCTGGGCCAGCGTCCGGGGCCTCCCTGACCAGGACCAGGCAGGCACATGGTCGCCTGTGGTCTGAAACGCTG